ATTACTGTGTTATTTAATAGTGTTAAAAAATTTGTATGTCTTGTTCAAATATATTTTAAGCAACTAAAATAATATAACGAAAATCGTTTTTAAAAATTTCTAAAAATCTCGACAAGGTAGCACAAATGGCAGAGAAATTCTGATTGATTACCACCGATTGCGCAATATGGTGTAAACGATGACACTTTCCTGTCAGCTGTAAAATAGCTCTCAAAAATAAATATCAGCCGTCGTGATTAGCATCACGTGCCGTATACAGTCGAGTGATGCATGATGCATCGCTTAAATATGAACAATTATGAAATATTAATACATTAACGGAAGTTAATGAATAGCAATTAAATGTATATGATGATCTGATATTCAGTATTAATAGCTAATTTAAATTCGATTATTGTCAATTGAAACAAGTGCAGAGAGAATAATTGACAACTCAATCACCTACCTAGTAACTATGAAAGCTGTCTAAATAACCAAACGTGTCTCAGCAAAATCGCGCGAATCTACGATTGCTTATGATGCTGGTAATTTGCAGTATATTTATCTTTAATGAATATACCGACAGTTGTAGCAACACGTAACAATGTATTATATGTATTTGTATATTATTGTCAGCAATTTAACAGCGAGATAGCAGCATTAAAATTACTTCGCGTTGTCGGCAATACGACAAAGTATTGTGTGATCCTATAGATATAAGGCCTATTCTTTTGGACTGAACTTTTGCACCAGTTCATCTTTTTTCCTTTTCTCTCCAGGAGAAAAGAAGAGAAAGAAAGATGAATTGGTGCAAAAGTTCAACCAAAAAGAACAGGGCCATTGATTATTATGGCAACAGCACGAATTTGGATGATGATTTTAAAATTATTGTCAAATTGCTAATAAATTATTACCTAAAATTGTGTCATATTATGAAGGTATAAATCTGCCAATAAATGCAGACTCAATTATTGCAATTCTGATAGCAGCACATATTTATTTGCAAGCAACATGCCAGCAACAAGTTAGACATGTTGCTATCTGGATAATTGCCCGAGCGGGAAAATCCATACGAAAATCCGTCGCGAATAAAAGTATACGCATGCGGTGTGGCGCGAATAGCATCGAGAGAATCAAACGCCGGAAAACTTTTTCCGTCGCGCGGAACCGTTATAGGACGCGGTGTGTTAGAGCGTGAGGAATGGCGAAAAAAATGAAGAAAAGAGAGAAAAAAAGATGCGATGCTTGAGAGATCTGGAGGGGCAAAGGAGAACGGAAAAAAAGACGGCCGAAATGCCATCGGAAACAGAAAGGGTAATGTGAAAAAAGGATGGAGGAAAATCGGAGGAGAGAGAGAGAGAGAGAGAGAGAGAGAGAGGGAGGGAGGGAGAGAGGGAGAAGGAAAATGGGGCCCGCGGAGGAGAAGAAGCGGGGAGAAGTGGAAGGCAACTCGTGTACTCGTGAGCGAACGCTGTGCCGCGTCGAGACGGGACGAGACGGGACGAGACGGGAGAAGCGGAGGAGAAGCGAGGAGCGCGGTGGACGCTCCGAGCTCCGAGTCCACAGTCAGTCCCTCCGAGAGAGGACCGTTCGCGAGAGGAGGTAAAGCACGGAGCGGAACGAGCGGAGGGAAGCGCAACGCGCAACGTCGCGGGCGCAAGCGCATTGAGCTCTCGGAGTTACTCGCGGCGTGCGCCACAAGCCACAATCCACATTGAAAGCTTGCGACATGCCGCTGCGGCGCTCAGTTGCGCGCCAACTCTCAAGTGAGTTTGTTGTTGTCGCATTGAGTTCCCGTATTCTCGAGTCTCCTTCCGTGTGTATACCGAGTGCGAGAGACAACGAGCGTACATAGGAATGTACGGCTGTGCGCGTAGGCGTCTATAAGACTGAACGAACGCGCGTTGACGCGGAGTCTGCAGACAACCTCGTCAAGACGGGAACGTGTTACCGTTGTCCTCGAAATCTCGGAATATATAATCCGGGGATCATTAAGTAAGTATTTGGAACAGTGTCAAAAACCACGACGCGCGCGCTTTTGAGTAAAACTAGATCCGTTTGTTGTTTGTTGTCCACGGCGTGGCGCGGTGGTGACGGCGTGACGGCGATAAATATTCACCGGAAAGTAATAAATACTCTCCTCATCTCCTACCGGCTCGTCTTAGACGACGTAGTACGCGCTACGACGGCCGAAGGAGAGGGAGAGATAACTAAATAGAACTGAGACGGACACAAAGACGTTTCTGCGTACAAACGGGCGAACGTATACAGGTGGTCGCGGTGAAGTCGCGAAGTAAGGATTCCCATTTGTGATGTGCGAGTGAGCGATGGAGTCACCAGTCATGTACGATTCGGCGGCCCATCAGGCCCAGGCCCAGGGCACGGCTGATTTGAAGAAGTCCCAGGTGCTCAACAACAATACTAGCAACCAGAACAATAACGCTGCGGCGAACAACAACAATTCCGCGCTGCAGATCAACCACAATCACAACCATCAGCAGCAAAATAGCGCGGTGGTGAAACAGGTCTCCGGCAGCAAGGCGAGCTTACATCAGCAATACGCCGAGCATTGCGCCGCTGCTGGCGAGCTTACTGATCTCAACGCTCCAGAAATTTCGCTGGATCTTCAAAATTTGATCGACGACAATCAATTCAGCGATAATATACTGGATATGCTTGGTCCCAACAATAACGCTATGAAACATGTGAGGACGGGCGGTTATCCCCGCACGACGCTCGCCTACATGCCGCAACCGGTGCACAGCGGAGCGACCTATCACCAGAGCAGCAATAGCTGCAGCGATAGTAACAGCTCGAGTTCAGAGTCACCTAGCATCAAGGAAGAACCATTGGACCCGGCGGACTATAGACGTCACTGCCCTCAGTATCCACCCACCGGTTACAGCCCGGTGACGAATAATCCATTCGCCAATGGTGGCCAGACCTTCACCACTTTGACGCCGTCGACGATACCAGGCGGTCATCCAGGTGCGCCGGTTCATCAGCCGCCACCGCGGGGTGGCCCCATGAAGGGGCCGGTAATGGCCCATCAGCATCACACCAATGCGAACGTCGCCAGAAAACAAACCAAGGCTATCGACAAGGCAAGTGACGAGTACAGGCGACGGCGGGAGAGAAATAACATCGCCGTGAGGAAGAGTCGCGAAAAGGCGAAGGTGCGATCGCGTGAAACCGAGGAGAAAGTCAAGCTACTGGTGAAAGATAACGATTTGCTGAAGAAACGGATCGAGCTGCTCAACGAGGAGCTCAATGTACTCAGGTCGCTCTTCAGCTCTGTCGGCGTTGTACCCGAGCAACTGCACCGCGAGATCTCCAGGCACCTCGACCAGTTTCAGCAGCACGCGGTTGGACCTATGTAGCAGCAGCAGCAGCAGCAACAGCAGCAGCAGCAACAGCAGCAACAGCAGCAGCAGCAGCAGCAGCAGCAGCAGCAGCAGCAGCAGCAGCAGCAGCAGTGTACGGACATTGCCACGCAATTCGAGATGACATTGTCTTCCGACGACATCGTCGTCGACTCGCGTCCCTGGGCTATCAGGCTGCTCCGATTGTGAAACGAAGTCAGTCCGCATCTTCCGCTTCCTCTTGCTTCTCCCCCGACGCTGTAGTATCGCTGTATATCGCGTACACCTCCGAGGAGAAATCGTCTTTCCTCCTTCATCTTATCCTCCCTCCCGTTTACTCATCTATCTTTTGCCTTCTCCTTTCATCTTCTATGTCGTCCTTTATATCTCTCACTCAGCTCAGAGTGCTCGATACGAACACACGTGCATCGTCGTTTGCGTTGAGATCCACGAAGACGCGAACATGGAGGAAGAAGGAGAGAGAAGGGGAGAGGATTGGCAAGATAGGAGGGCGAGCGAGAAGAGCAAGCTATTCTATGCTTTCGATGACTGAAAAACGCGGTCGGCGTGGTTCACGCAAGAACTTCGCATTTCGTTAGAAGTGGCTTTGCCCGCGGGACGTGCATCCCTTTGCTTCAGAATGCTATTCGGACATTAAGAAAGCGAAAGGGAGGCGAATACCAATAAATAAAAGAGTAAATCGTGAAGAATCAATCGCGTGAACCGCTAGCAAGCCGTCGTATTACGATATCTCTCCAGATATAGAAGCTTAGAATCGACGAAGAACGCGAGAAAGGCAATCCAATTTTTCTTCGTCGTTCGTATTCTTTTTTTTTTCTTAGTGTCTTACTTCTCCTTTATAGAAATTTAATTTAGTACTGAAAATTACTTATTTTGAGTATTAAAAGCACTGAACACAAATTACGTATTTTGAGTAAAAGCGTTGCTCTTAATAACTTAATAAAATAAGTAGTTAATCTAAATTTCTGTAAGGACTATCATTCTTCTATTTAACAAACTTGTATTTAACTTGGCATTTATGGGCTAAATATAAGATTGAATGATCCATCGATTTTCAAAGTCATTGATGGGCAAAATAATCGTAATACGAAGGCTAGCTCCGACATCTCGAACAAATCGTGTCTCGATGTAATTCACGCAAGAGAATCCTCACTTTAGTTGTATATTATGTTTCGTACTACACATAAACAGAAACACACACCTAACACATCTCCAATGCGAAAGACACGTATACACGGCGCTGTATTTAGATTCGGTTTTTAGATAATGTTAAATTAATGAACTTAGGCTATCGTTCTCTAATTACCAAGTACCTAAAAAAAAAAGTCATATCGAAACACGGGGATCTATATCAACGTGGCTCGCATCAACAATCGTGCAACAATGAGACAAGTCGATATCCATTTTCTCGATACGTATTCGCTTCCGCGCTCGTTATATTCGACGAAGCGCCAAGCAACACAGCCGAGCACTTTATCCACGCTCTTGTATTATAGTACTAATTAATTTTATTATTATATTCGAGATGTATGTACATAAAAAGCTAATATATTTTGTTAAAAGAAAAGCTGAGAGAAAGAGAGGAAGAGAGAGAGAGAGAATGTGAGAGAGAAACGGCCGGAAAGACTGGGGAATAGTCGAGCGGATTGTATACGTGCGTGCGTGCGTGCGTGCGTGCGTGCGTGAGCGAGCCGTATAACGTTTGTACGTATGTATATGTGACATCGCGTGCGCGAATGCGTCGGGAGAGACAAATTGTTGTAATTGCATATTTTATTAGCATCGAGAGTGAGACCGATAATTAAGCGTGAGGCGGAAGAGTCAGAGAATCATACATGAATGTTTTATACAAGCATGCAGTCGCATGAAGCGTGGCTTCATCTTCGCGATGCCAACTCATACGCGAATCTGATGTGTATAACAGTCAGCAGCATCGGTGTGCACCGTGCGTTCATCATGATTGCACGTATATCGTACATATAATGCGCGCGTATACTTGCGCGAACGATTTAATTATTTACAAGCCAAGACGTGCGACCGCGTGCAATTAGTGTGAATGCGAGAGAGAAAGAGAAAACGTTACGCACGCGTGCCTTGGTGTATGACTGACGTACGACTTTAGGGTACGAAATTACCTGTCACGGTTGTCTTCTTGTCTATGCACAAATATATTTTGATATGAAACGTATATATAACGCGTCTGCCTCTGTTTCTTTTCTTATCTCTAAAAGTTACCTTACTTTCCCCGCATTTTCCCCGTTGTCTTCCTCTGGCTCATCAATTTAATTCTTTATGACGTACTTAAGCCTTTGACGCATAAAGCTGCTTCTCTACGACTGATAACGTTCTCCGATGTAATCTCGGAATTTAAAGAACTATATGCAGAACTTTTCCATTCTTTCATTATCGACATATCATGCTTTACTCTTATAAATTTATATACTTTATATACTTATATTTTTTTCAGTACACAAATACAAATATCAATTTTTAATCGTTCATCAGAAAAAATATTTAGTATTTATTAATTAAATTTAGTCATTTAATTTCATGCTTTATCTTTCTTTGAAGATTCCTTATAAAATCTAAATAATTATTCTTTAAAATATAGAAAAAAATTTACACTACTATTATATTAGCAATTATCTATATTATATCTTTTAATTTTCTAAGATTCTGAAATGAAAAAGCTATTTATTCAATATTACGGTGTTTTAGAAAAAATTTTTATTACGACATAACATAAAAATGTGAAAAATAACACTATAAAATTAACCAACATGTTCAGGTGTTTAAAAGAATAAAATTCAAACCTCAAAAGTATCATTAGATAAGGAAACAGATTCATACTCGTTATCATTATGATAACATTCTGACCTGAGATTAACGACGTCACGTACGGTCAAGGCGAGAGCGAATCCCATTGAAGGGATATTTCCACGAGCGTACAAAATAGTCAGCCATTGATCTATCGGAAAAATTGATCGACATTCGCACCTACACAGATACAACGCGCGTATGGAAAGCGATCGGAGCAATGGCGCGCGAATTCATCGCAATGAATGAGTCACGAGATAAGTTTGTTGTTAGTCAGATTAAATAGATTAGCACCATTGTGACGAGCGTGACGCGCGTTGTAGCGCGCCCCGCGGAACAGGATACGGCGCGTTCCAACTTCCACGCGTGTACGCGCGAGCGCACGTGCTCGCATCTCGAATCACACGCATATATAAACGAACGCAAACGAAAGCATACGAGGAAGCATGACGTAATTGGCAAAACGAGTTTTTCATGTCGCGATGCAAAATCATGTGATGTCACAGTGCAATATTTCGTTTGTAACAATTGAGAGTTAATTTAAGTTCCCCTTTCATTCTCACCACTACTATCTCATATTGTGATGCAGAAATAAGAAAATACAAATTTTTTTGAGTAAAAAAAATACTTGCAAAATACCTATATTAATACGGAAAAATGTTTCGATAAAACAACAATTACAATTCTTAGAACCGATTTTAAAATATATAAAAAGTTTCCTTTTTTATTTCTTCATTAAATAATAAGTAAAAATAATCATACGCGTTAAAAATAAATTAAGCACAATTGAAAATGAAATTCACAGCATTTTAAGTATGACAAACTGTCAAATTAATAATATATAGAAATAAATATAATTTAATTGTTTTCCAAAACAAAGAAGATAATTTTCAGTATATCTTATTATAGTCTATGAATTTGTAAATGTTTTAGTAAAAAAATATTTTTATTCAAATATATAATTTGCAAGAATGTTTATTGTGTGTTCTTTTAAATTGACAAAAAAATTGAGAATGAAGAACGCCTAAATGCATTAAATTAAAATGCTTCAAATAATTCTTCAAATATTGTTTATAGATAAATGTTCAATGTTTATTCTTCACTACATCGTGATAAGGATATAAAGGTGAGAAAGTAAAATTGTAAATTTTGTAAAATTAAATGAAAAATTTAACAGATGTACATCAATACATATATATTAAACATACATATTTAATACACCCAATAACTCGATACTCACTTTCCGGTTTTGCTTTCGAGAATTATTGCTAGGGAGTGAATTTCCTCAGATTTTGTTGTGCTTTATTCATATACGGTTTCACGTAAACTTGCAGTTTGCTTTTGGTTTGATGATCCTCGCGGACAATTTATTTTATTTCTACGTGATAGAATGCAGAGATTATCGTACGTATGCATGCGACAACATATTGTCCAGCGCAGAATATATGCAGGTGAGTGTACAAAGAATAAAAAAACAAGAATACCGAGACGGAATACTTCCGAAGAATTGGAAATAACATTGATACAAGAAGATATGTATATTCTCAAGGTGCACTGCAGGATCTTAAAAGTCGAATATAGCGAATAGCAACGCAAAGAAAAATCATTTTCATAAGAAACGCATTATTCGACAAGTAGAAAAGAGAAAGTTTCATAAGACCGATTTTCGGTCTTGTTTAAATTTCATTTTACACTATCAAAAACGTTTTATTATTGTAAGAATTATTATTGAAATTATAGATCATCTGCTAACTGTTTACACCTAGGAGCCTAAATAACTGAAAATCGAATTTAAGTATAGGCTGCGGCCTAAATACATGGTGTAAACATAATCAATGACATCAGTTACATGCTTAATACTGTTTTGAAGTTAATTCATCAATACATAAGCTACGTTCGGTTTTGGCGTTCACATGCTATTATATAAGCATGTAAGTATCATTCTATCTTTATCGCTCACTACATGTGGAAGATAAAATGAAGCTTACAGCGCGTGAACGCCCAAAGCGAACGCATCTATAGACAGTGAAAGAATTCCAATAGCATCGTTCGCTTTATATTGTATTACTGTGAAAACTCAGGATGTATTGATTAATGAACGGTTTATTATTTATTTTCTGTTAGTTCATTTGTTAATTCATTTTTTAGTGAAGCTTTAACTTTTTATGTATAATGTATATCTAGTCACAATTCCGAGTAATCTAATTTCCCTATAGACCTGCACTAAATCAGTCATAAGTTACTTTTTCAATACTACGGACATGCTTATATATTTTCACAGTCACAGGCAATGTTTAATTAATAAGACATAGATAAATCTTTCAATATTTTGTAATAATCTTTTTGTTACAATCGTTGAAATAGCTTGCATTAATTTTGTGAGTCTATTATTTCAAAGGAAATACTTAATGTGTGAAATATAACTTAGAATTTCAAAATATGAGATATTCAAACTTAAATTATGATAATTATAAAACAAAAACAAAAGGAAATTATCCAGTATAATAGATTACGTCGTTTTTCAATATAGCTCAGTTTGCAATGTATCGGCGTCATCAATCCGATAGCTTTTAGAAAAAAGTCTCTTAACTATACCTGCATTTTTTCGATAACTTTCTTAAATAAATATTTCCTCCTAAAAACTCTGTCAATATATAGTTTAAAAATAGCGGATGTATTAGGTGTACAACTTTGCTTCCGCCGTTTTCCTATAGATGGCTTTAGCGGTAAGTGGTGGTCGAATTAAATAGATCATAGACGTCATATAATAAACTTGGGCATCTGTCAACATAACCCCATAGAAACATTAGTCGATTTGTGTCTGCATCATAAAGTTATTCTCGATTGAAAATGTCAGTTTACGAGCCAAATTCTCGTTTGCGGGAAGTTTTAATTTTTTGCTTCAATATGAAGAAATCTGCGGCTGAGGCTCATCGAATGCTCTCAAATACTTATGGTGAGGCCGCTATTAGTGAAAGAACGTGTCGTGAA